ACACACACACACACACACACACACACACACACACACACACACACACAAAGAGACCGTCTTCATCTTCAGCATCTGAAAATAAGCCATAACAATTTCGCTAATGCCAAGTTGGGTGGAAGCAAACGCGTGAATAAGCAGGCAAACACAAACTCACAGAAGACACATGACAGCACAGAGAGAAGTGGACATGTACATGTATCCGCTCGCATGCAAGCACGCACAACACACACACACGCTCCCAGTGTGATGGTAAATGCATTAATAATTGATCCATCATTTTTTTTTTTTTTTTTTGGTCTGATGTTCAATGGGCTCTGCTTCTTGTCCACATTTAAAAGTAGAAATCATTGTTCCCATTTCCACATTAAAATTCCACCTCCCAGAGACATGCTTTTATGTGGCCGGCTGGTGGCTTGGCTCATGTCTGAGTGAGCCCATCCGCACAAACGCAAAGCCGTACACAAACACACACTGATGTCTCCCGACTCCTCTCATCGACACTCGCGCAGGCCTTGCACGCATGGATGCCTGCATGTGAACACACACACACACACACATGCCCACACACACATCCTATTGTCCCATGCTGGAGTAAGTCTTAATGGTCGCTGCAGACGCATGCAGGGCTTTATTCCAAACTGGTTCCAGCTTCCACCCCTGACACAAGCCGAGGGAAACCCTATACACCTGACTCAACTCCTTATAAAAATCTGTCATGCTTATATTTTAGGGGCGTGCTCCTCTCCGCTGAAAACGCTTCTAAAAAATGCTCATCTGTAAAATAAAGTGCACAAGGTGGAAAGTGTTAGGCTCATTATGGTGCAACTTGATCCAAAACACTTAAAACATGTCTGCTACTTTCTAATAAGGCATACTGAAGGGGTTGTCTATAATAATGTTTTATAAGTCATTTTAAGGAAGGTAAGTATAAGCCATAAATAAGAACACATTCTGAGTTGCCATGTTTTTATCCTCACATTTGGCTTTTTAGCTCACTCTTTCTTTTAGAGGCAGCAGAGCATCCATTCATTAACTGAACAAGTTCAGACGTGATGGATTATGTTAGTAGGATAACTGTTGATACATTACTTTGTTTGTACCGTTTATAGCTGTACTGTGTTTGTTTTAAAATAGGGAACTTGTGTCCCGTTGCTGAGATCTGGGAACACAGAGACATCACTACAACAAAGTCTGATGCAAGAAAACAACAGATTATCAAACAGGTTGTAAAAAAATGAAACAAAAAGCCAACAGACGATCTAAAAACACTTGACGAAAGGGAACACACCCCTTTTGCTGGTATTAATCCTTCATTGCTCTACGACTACTACGAGTTGGCATCGATGTCGATCCATGAGGGTGATCTGTGGTGGATGAGGATAATGGAGCGTTTGGGTGATATGAGAATATCGTCTCTCCATTTGCCAACGCACCTTGGACACAATATGGGGCCAATATAATTCAATTAATCATTTTTTATTTAAAAAGAAAAGACTCGGTGAAAGCAGCTTGGTATGTTTTCTTTACTCATCCTGGGCTGGCCCAATCACACCTCTTATTCCTCTTTCTCACTGGCCAAAAAATACCGACTAACACCCACAAACATCTGGATTTAGTCTTCAACGGGAACGGTTACAATCTGCATTTAATACCGGGACACATGACTCCGCAGTAGTCACTGGTGTTTATCGACTCCAGCGACGGCGACAATCGTCAGTGATAAAAAACACAAACAACTCAAATTTTCATCCCTTTTCTGGCCTGATTCTATGTGACACGCCTTGAAGTGAATATATAAGAAATAAAATAAACTGAGATTTGAATAATTATTCCAACGTGAAAAAACATAGAATAAATTTGCTCTCCTCATCAAAGCCAACAGACTCCAGTCGGACCAGTTATTTTACCTCACTGATCGTCGTAAATAAACACTTCAACAGGAACAAAATAAAGCTCCAATCATAACCGTCGTTGTTATTTCCACTGTTCCATCAATCACCAACTCTGCTTTGAGAGTTTGAAAGAGAGACTGAATAAGTTACACAAAAAAAAGAAGAGGTAAACAAAACAAAAAGCATACTCGCCTACTGGCAATGGGAAAGGGGTCTTCCGCCTATTTTTAGCAGGATTTCTCGTCTTTATAAAACCTGCATATACGCGCTAATATTGGTGGAAAGAAGGATAATACTAGGCACCACCCCTCCCCCTCCGTTCCTCATGTCAGATGCTGGGGCAGAGCCAAAAATCTGTGGATGGATCAAGGCCTTAAATTGGATAAACCGAAGTGCAAAGGGGGTTGCGGAGATGTTGTGGGCCAAAAAAAAATGAAAAAAATCTAGAGGTGCATGCCGCCAAATGTGCCAAAATGTTTGCTGCAGGGGCTCAAGTAGCTTCAACATCTACATCTACTCAGTTACAGGCACGTACTGCTCAACTTTGGTTTGGGGGAAGTAGGTTTGGCGGCATTTAAGGGGACCGCAAGGAATGTGTACTGGTTGGTGGTGTCTGACTTATTGTGGTGCCAAAAATGCCGGGGCCGAATTGGGAACTTAACCTATACTACGGGATTAAAGTCAGGATATCCCGACCGCTGCAGCGTTGATTTTCACCATTACTACATTCCTGGAGTACCCCTTTAAAAGCCTTCATGGTCATCGGACAGCTTGTGTTTTTAGCCCCGCGTTTCTTCAGCAAACTAAATGAACCTGGTGAAACAACATCCATGTTTTGATAATCATCCTTTAAGATGAACTAAAAACGGACCTAAAGTGAACAAAAACAGCTTATGCATGAAAAGGATACACACCAGCCAAACCTGGAAACACAAAAGATGTTCTTAATAATAGGCAATTCCTGATTTCTAAATGTATTAAATATTAATAAATACAAAAGGAAAGTATGCCTTGTCTAAATGAGACTACCGTTTAAGTCAAATGTAACAGCACGCTGCTAGAATCCAAACTGGAACGTAGAGAGGTCTGAACTCAAATGTCCGGTGAATTGCTGACATGATCTGCAGCCGTGACCCTTTGTGGCCTGTTGGACGTGGCACTGCAACAATGCTCCGTCTCTCTAACTGACCACTGTTAACTGTTCATTGGCTGAAGCCCTAAAGTACAGGTCTGCTCCCATCCGTTCTATAAAAGCCTTCAGACCCTTATAATTGAAATAAACAATATCTCCCAGTTAATTACTGGGCTAAGCTAATTAAAGAAAGGCCGTGGTCCTCGGCGGGGACTTTAAATACACCGCTGGGACTCAAGAATGCAGGACACAATTCAAACAGGGAGAAAATAGATGGAACTCTGTGTAATTTTGGTCGTGGACCGCAGGGGAAAAAATGTATAATTTAGGCCAGAAATTATTCATTTAACATAAACGCTTGTTTTAAAAAACAAAAAGTATTCATTTGAGAGAAGTTGGGGGAGGAAGTGCATGTGTGTTTTGGCTGTGATACTGCGTGAATACACGGTTATCCACACAGTATGTGAACTTTTTGTTTGCATCCTTGTATTGGTTGAATACAGCTTACGTGTGTGTGTGTGTGTGTTTTGTGCACACTGTGAACAATACTCGAGTCAACCTCGAGTTTTGTTTGTGCCGAGCTGTGATGTAGCGTTTTCGGTCTCGGCTTTGAAGCCCCTGGTGTGGTGCATTGATGTGGACAGGGGACCAATGTGGCTCTCTGTTTTCCATACACCCTGATGAGACAGACAGAGGGAGAGACCTCCCCTGATACTTGGCAAAGACACTGAGGCTAAACGTGCTACTAATGGCATTCATCTGCAAACCGTAACAAACACTCGCTGCACAATTTAGTGGGTAATGTGCGGCCATCACTCCGGGATAATGTGCATCTGTGTGTTGTTTATTTGTCTCGCTTTAACAGGCTGTCAACTGCAGTTCTGACTTTGACAAAAATGAATCTGCAACATGACCAGCGGACAAGATTATAGTTTATGGTTACACTGGAAGGGCCAGTAATAGTGTGCACATTTGCATTCAGTGACGAAGCAAAGCTGAACTTTTTAAAGAGTAACTTAACATCCCCTAAATGTGTCAGCTGACATCCAGTGGTTTCACGTCTCATCTTGCTGCAGTGATGTGCATATGTACTCCAGGGTGTGTCAGTACACTGCGAC